TATAGATTGAGATGATTTTCAAGGTTGTCTTTTTACTCTGCTGATTGTTACTTTTGCTGTGCAGAAGCTTTTTAGTTTAATGTTTTTGTTGCATTTGATTTTCTTGGGTTCTTGGTCAAGAAGTCTTTGCCTAAGCCAAGATCTAGAAAGATTTTTCCAATGTTATCTTCTAGGATTTTTATGATTTCAGGTCTTAGATTTAAGTATTTAATCCATCTTGAGTTGATTTTTGTATATATAAAGATGAGGATCCAGTTTTATTCTTCTACATGTGACTTGCCAATTATCCCAGCACCATTTGTTGAATAGGGCATCCTTTCCCCACTATATGTTTTTGTTTACTTTGTCGAAGATCAGTTGACTGTAAGTATTTGGCTTTATTTCTAGGTTCTCTATTCTTTTCCATTGGTCTATATGCCTATTTTTATACCAGTACCATGCTGTTTTGGTGACTATGGCCTTTTAGTATAGTTTGAAATCAGGTAATGTGATGCTTCCAGATTTGTTCTTTTTGCTTAGTCTTGCTTTGACTATGCAGGCTATTTTTGGTTCCATATGAATTTTAGGGTTGTTTTTTCTAATTCTGTGAAGAATTATGGCAGTATTTTGATGGGCGTTGCATTGAATTTATAGACAGCTTTTGGCAGTATGGTCATTTTCACAATACTGATTCTACCAGTCCATGAGCACAGGATGTTTCCATCTGTTTGTGTTGTCTGTGATTTCTTTCAGGAGTGTTTTGTAGTTTTCTTTGTAGAGGTCTTTCATCTCCTTGGTTAAGTATATTCCTAAGTGTTGTATTTCTTTTGAATCTATTGTAAAAGGGGTTGGGTTCTCGATTTGAATGTCAGCTTGGTCACTATTGGTATGTAGCAGGGCTACTGATTTGTGTACATTAATATTGTACCCTGAAACTGCTGAATTTATTACCAGTTCTAGAAGCTTTTTGGATGAGTCTTTAGGGTTTTCTATAATAGTTATACAATCATGTCATCAGCAAAGAGTGACAGTTTGATTTCCTCATTACCAACTTGGATGCCCTTTATTTCTTTCTCTTGGCTGATTGCTCTGGCTAGGACTTCCAGTACCATGTTGAATAGGAGTGGTGAAAGTGGGCATACTTGTCTTGTTCCAGCTCTCAGGGGGAAATGCTTTCAACTTTTCCACATTCAGTGTAATGTTGGCTGTCAGTTTGTCATAGACGACTTTTATTACCTTAAGGTACGGACTTTCTATACTGATTTTGCTGAGGGTTTTAATCATAAAGTGATACTGGATTTTGTTAAATGCTTTTACTGCGTCTATTGAGATGATCAAGTGATTTTTGTTTTTAGTTCTGTTTATGCGGTGTATCACATTCATTGACTTGTGTATGTTAAACCATCCATGCATCCCTGGTATGAAACCCACTTGATCATGGTGGATTATCTTTTTGGTATGCTGTTGGGTTCTGTTAGCTAGCATTTTGTTGAGGATTTTTGCATCTATGTTCACCAGGGAAATTGGTCTGTAGTTTTCTTTTTTGTGTGATATATTTTCCTGGTTTTGGTATTAGGGCAATAGTGGCTTCATAGCATGATATAAGGAAGATTCCTTCTTTCTCTGTCTTTTGGAATAGTGTTAATAGGACTGCTACCAATTATTTGCATGTCTGATAGAATTCAGCTGTGAACCCATCTAGTCTTGGACTTTCATTGTTTGGGGTAATTAACCATTTCAATCTCACTGCTTGTTATTGGTCTGTTCAGAGTTTCTATTTCTTCCTGGTTTAATGTAGGAGGGTTGTATATTTCCAGGAAATTATCCATCTCCTCTAGGTTTTCTAGTTTATGCATGTAAAGGCATTGAATGATCTTTTGTATTTCTGTGGTATCAGTTGTAACATCTTTCATTTCTTTTCTAATTGAGCTTATTTGGATCTTCTCTCTTCTTTTCTTGGTTAATCTCACTAATGGTCTACCAGTTTTATTTATCTTTTCAAAGAACCAGCATTTTGTTTTTGTTTTTGTATATAAATATACATATTTAATTTAATTTAGTTCTGCTCTGATCTTGGTTATTTCTTTTCTAATGCTGAGTTTGTGTTTGCTGTGTTCTTGTTTCTCTAGTTCCTTGAGGTGTGACCTTAGATTGTCTATTTGTGCTCTTTCAGACTTTTTAGTGTAGACATTTAATGCTATGAACTTTCCTCTTGGCACCACCTTTTCGGTATCCCAGAGGTTTTGATAGGTTGTGTCACAATTATCACTCAGTTCAAAAAATTGTTTAATTTCCATCTTGATTTTACTCTTGACCCAACAATCATTCAGGAGCAGGTTATTTCATTTCCATGTATTTGCTTGGTTTTGATGGTTCCTTTTGGAGTTGATTCCAATTTTATTCCACTGCAGCCTGAGAGAGTACCGGATATAATTTTCATTTTCTTAAATTTGTTGAGACTTGTTTTGTGGCCTATCATATAGTCTATCTTGGAGAAAGTTCCATGCAATGATGAATAGAATGTATATTCTGGGGTTATTGGGTAGAACAATAACAATGTTCTGTAAATATCTGTGAAGTCCATTTATTGTATAGTTTAAATCCATTGTTGCTTTGTTGACTTCCTGTCTTGATGACCTGTCTAGTGCTGTCAGTGGAGTACTGAAGTCCCCCACTATTACTGTGTTGCTGTCTCTCTCATTTCTTAGGTCTAGTAGTAATTGTTTGATAAATGTGGGAGCTCTAGTGTGAGATGCATATATATTTAGGATTGTGATATTTTCCTGTTGGACTAGTTCTTTTATCATTATACAATATTCCTCTTTTTCTTTTTTAAATGCTGTTGTTTTAAAGTTTGTTTTGTCTAATACAAGAATAGCTATTCCTGCTCACTTTTGGTGTCCATTTGCATGGAATATCTTTTTCTGCCCCTTTACCTTAAGTTTATGTGAGTCCTTATGTGGTTGGTGAGTTATTATCCATTCTGCTATTCTGTATCTTTTAAGTGGAGCATTCAGGCTATTTACATTCATCATTAGTATTGAGATGTAAGGTACTATTCTATTCATCATGCTGTTTGTTACCTGAATACCTTACTGTTTTTCCATTATGTTATGGTTTTATACGTCCTGTGAGATTTATTATTTAAGGAGATCCTATTTTGGTGTATTTCAATCATTTGTTTCAAGATTTAGAGCTCCTTTTAGCAGTTCTTGCAGTGCTGGCTTGGTAGTGGCAAATTCTCTCAGCATTTGTTTGTCTGAAAAAGACTGTATCTTTCTTTCATTTATGAAGCTTAATTTCACTGGATACAAAATTTTGTCTGCAATGGTTTTGTTTAAGGAGGCGAAAGATAGGACTCTAATCCCTTCTAGCTTGTAGGGTTTCTGCTGAGAAATCTGCTGTCAATCTGATAAGTTTTCTTTAAAAGATTACCTGATGCTTTTGCCTCAGCTCTTAAGATTCTTTCCTTCATCTTGGCTTCAGATAACCTGATGACTATGTGCCTAGGTGATGATCTTTTTGCAATAAATTTGCCAGGTGTTCCAGGTGTTTGAGCTTCTTGTATTTGAATATCTAGATCTCTAGCAAGACCAGGGAATTTTCCTTGATTATTCCCTTAAATATGTTTTCCAAACTTTTAGATTTCTCTTCTTCCTTGGGAACACCAATTATTTGTAGGTTTAGTCCTTTAACATAATCCCAGACTTCTTGGAGGCTCTGTTCTTTTTTTTTTTTTTTTAATTCTTTTTTCTTTGTCTGTCAGATTGGCTTAATTTGAAAGCCTTGTCTTTAAGCTCTGAAGTTCTTTCTTCTACTAGTTTGATTCTGTTGCTGAGACTTTCCAGTGCATTTTACATTTTTCTAAGTGTGTCCTTGATTTCCAGAAGTTGTGGTTGTTTTTTATTTATGCTATTTCACTGGAGATTTTTCCATTAATATCTTGTATCTTTTTTTTGATTTCCTTATGTTGGACTTCACCTTTCTCTGGTGTCTCCTTGATTGGCTTACTAATCAACCTTCTGAATTCTTTTTCTGGCAATTCAGAGATTTTGTCTTGGTTTGGTTTCATTGCTGGTGAGCTAGTGTGATCTTTTGGGGGCGATAAAAAACCTCGTTTTGTAAGATTACCAGAATTGCTTGTCTGGTTCCTTCTCATTTGGTTAGACTATGTCAGAGGGAAGATCTAGGACTCAGATCGGCTGTTCAGGTTCTTTTGTCCCACGGGTGCTCCCTTGATATGAGGCTCTCCCCCTTCCCCTAGGAATGGGGCTTCCTGAGAGCCAGACTGCAGTGATTGTTATTGCTCTTCTTGATTTAGCCACCCAGCAGAGCTACTGGGCTCCAGGTTGGTACTGGGGAGTGTCTGCAAGGAGTCCTGTGATGTGATCCATCTTCAGGCTTCTCAGCCATGGATACCAGCACCTACTCCAGAGGTAGCAGCGGAATGAAGAAGACTAGTAAGGGTCCTTGCTTGTGTTTTTGTTTAGTACACTGGTTTTGTGTACATTGGCCTCCAGCCAGGAGGTAGCACTTTCAAAAGTGCATCAGCTGTGGTTGTACAGGGAGGATACAAGCTTACCCTAGAGTCAGGCAGTGGGTGGAGTCATAGAGCTCCCAAGAGAGTATGTCCTTTGTCCTCCCTACCAGGGAAAATAGTAAAAGGCCATCAGATGGGGGCAGGGTTAGGCATGTCTAAGCGCAGACTCTTCTTGGCCAGGGCTTGCTGCAGCTGCTGTGGGGGATGAGGGTCTGGTTCCCAGGCCAATGGAGTTATGCTCCCAGGGGGATTAATTCTGTCTCTGCTGCATTACACACACAGGTTGCCAGAGAAGTTGGGGAATGCCAGCAGCCACAGGCCTCACCCAGCTTCCAGGCAGCCTACAGCCCTAAAGGCCAGTCTCATTCCCACTGTGCCCCTCCCCCAACAGCACCAGGTTTATTTCCAGGCAGCCAGTGAGCAGGGCTGAGAACTTGTCACAGGTAACAAGCCTCCCAGCTAAGAAAGCAAGCTGACTCACAGTTCCTCGGCTGTCTCACAGAGCCTGCAGCGGCAATCCACCTCCTTCAAAGGGTCTGTGGATTCTCTGGGCTTTCTTGGTATGTTCCTGTGGTGGTTCTTGGAGTAAAAGTTCACAGTGTGGGTCTCTGCATGCTGTTCTGTCCATCTGAGTGGGAGCTGCAAGTTAGTCCGGCCTCCTATCCACCATTTTCTGCTTATCTCTTTATTCAAATATTTTCAATCCATGGTTGGTTGAGTCCGAGGATGTGCAATCTGAGAACAGGAAGGGCCAAGACTAACCAAAATACTCAGGATCCCCAAGCAGGATAAATAATAAATAAATATCCATATATAAAAATACCATAATGAAGCCATGGAACACAAAAGACATAGAAGATCTTTAAAGCAACTAGAGAGAAAAGACAAATTACCTCCAAAGAAAAAACAATGGACTTACATACAGTTGGTTACCTAAAAGCAACAATGTAAACAAGAAGACAGCAAAAGGATATCTTTCATATGCTGGGGGAGAAAACTTGCAAAATAAAGGTATTTTAAAAGAAACATCAATAGATCCTCACTAAACAAATTTCTAAAGTATGTACTTTAGAGAGAAGAAAGATCACTGATCAAGGGCTTGAGAGTCAAGCAGAACTAATAAGCAAAAGAACTTGTAGATTATTGGCAAAATCTAAGCAAACATTGATTGTATTTAACATAAAGCTACACAATAACAATGTATCGAAGAGATTTCTGCACTCCCATATTCATTGCAGCATTATTCACAATAGCCAAGATATGGAACCAGCCTAAATTTCCATCAAGGATAAATGAATAAAGAAAATGTCATATATATATACACAATGGAATATTATTTAGCCTTAAAATAGAAGGAAATCCTGTCATCTGCAGCAACATGGATGATCCTGGAGGATGTTATGTTAAATGAAATAAGACAGATACAGAAAGACAAATAACATATGATCTCACATATTTGTGAAATCTAAAAATGTTGAATTCATAGAAACATAGAGCAGCATGGGGGTTACTAGGAGATGTAGGGATGGGGTCAGGGCCTGGCAAGAAGTTGGTCAAAGGATGCAAAATTTCAGTTAGAGAGGAGAAATGAATTCAAGAGGTCTGTTGTATCTGGTGACTATAGTTAATAACTATAGTTATTGAAAATAATTCTATTGTATGCTTGCAAATTGCTAAGAGTAGATTTTAAGTGTTCTCTGGCCTATTCTGTTGGGTGGGTTCTTGGCCCACAAGAGCCGGACAGGCAGGTGATCAAGCCACATTGGGCATGCTGAGGGCCTCCACGGGCACTCACTAGGGCTCTGGCCAGAAGACTTGAGTGATGCTCTGCTTCCTGCAGGCAGTGTTGCAGGCTGGGCACGTCCTAGAGGCCCCATTCAGACGCTGCATGCGCGTGGGGAGGTCTGGGGGACTGGCTTGGCCCTGCAGCCACACCATCCTCCCCCAAGGCCGCTGCTGGCCTCTGTCTAAAGAAGGATGAGATCTTGCTCTGGGTCTTCCCAGGCTTCTCACACCATGAGGGGTCTGATTGGGAAGCCCCGTGGGTGAGCACAGGAGTGTGGCAAGACTCTTTTCTTGGGGTACTGGTGGCTCCATGCCTGGGTAGGAGTGCCGGCTGGCCAGGTCTGTGCATGTCTGCAAGAAGTGCTGCTAGTGGTGTGGATGCACAAACATGCTGAACCTCTGCAGCAGGGGGAAGTCCTCAGGCTTCGCAATGGTCAATGCGGCCAGTGCGGCCAGCATCTTGTCCAGGTCGTCATCCTGCTTGTAGGCTGTCAGTGCTGCCAAGAGCTGGCTATAGCCTGTGGACCCCAGGGCCCTGCGGGCATCTGCCAGGTAAACACTCACGGTGTGCTGGCCCTGCTTCCCTGCTCTGGGCGCTCTGGACCCCCACTGTGGGTACCTGCCAGGGTCTCCTGTGGGGGGTGACCTGGGGGACAGGTGGGATCTGCCCTGGTTCAGGTGCTCTCTGGGGTCCAGCTGCTGGGCCACAGCCTTGGACAGGGTCAGCTTGGGATCCGGTGCTGTCCTTCCAGCAGGGTCCAGGGCTGGCTGTGCCCGCTGCCTTCGGGGCATGCTGTGCTCAGGTTGATAGCTGCAGCCTTGTCCTGTTAGCTGTATACAGACCTCCTCAGACTGCTGCTTGTGGTGGGGCCACACAAACTGGTAGAAGCCTTGGAGCAGGCTGTGCTTCTTGAGGTCGTCAGCAAAGAGGAGGCCAAGACAGGCCGCCAGGGCAGCTAAGTCATCGGAACCCTTGTAGTCCTGTAGGACCTGGGTGAAGGTGGCGAAGTTGGCTTGGCTCAGCTCCTGCTTCACGGCCACCATGAAGAGCTTGGCCCTGTCTGCCTGTGCACCAGCCATGGGCTCCTCCGACTGGCTGACCAGCCGGATCTTCTTCCTCCTTCCTTGTGGCTCCTCTGCCAGCCTCTTAGATGGGAGGGACAGGGTAGAGCACCTGTGGGTTTGCTCCTCGCCAGGGCCCCCCAGCCCACCACCAGCAGCTGGTGACCCTGACGGCCTCTGCTTCAGGTTGAGGACGTGCAGGTCCAGACTCTTAGCTTTCCTGGTGGAAAGGAGGGGGCCAGGTGACTTAGCCACCCTGACAGCATCTTCTCCCTCACACAAACTGGATGCTGCAGCCCGGGGCGTGGTGCTGGCATAGTTCACTTAGCAACACAGAACTGGGCCATGTCTTGGATGACATGGCCAAAGTTGTTGTACACCCTGATGTGGGGACACACCCAGGAGGGCAGCTGGGTTCTGGGGTCGGCAAAGGCGAACCTGTGGTCACAGAGGAAGACAGCCCCGTAGTTCTGGCAGTGCCGGATCACTCGCCCGATGGCCTGGTTCACAGCCCTGGATGCCTGCTGCCGGTACCACTCCTGCCCAGACAGGAACTGGCCCCCAGCCCCAACCTGGCCCTTCATCTCGTCCAGGAACTGCATCTTGAGGACAACCAGGGGTCCATGTGTGGGGGCTATGGGAGGCCCGTGACGATCACACCACAGCCATTATTGTCTGAGAAGTCCAGCCCCTCCCTGGCCTTTCCCTGGCATACCGCCAGGAAGATGGCGCCGATAGACCCGGGGGAGGCAATCTTCGCTTAGTAAGCACTCATGGTCTCAGAGAAGCTGCCTTTGCTCCTGGGCTCCACAAACAGAGGCTTCAGTGCCTCCTAGCCAAGACACGGGCCCGCCAGAACTCCAGGCTCTTTTCTATGATGGGATATGAAGGGAAGAAGATCAGGAGCCCATAGGGCACCATGCGGGTGATGTTGCCCAGAGCCGTCCCCAAGGAGGACAAGCACTCCTCGGAAAACCGTCTGTCAAACGCTGAGCTCAACTGGGCTCCGTCAGGGCCTCTGAGGACGATCCCCACCCAGATCTGGTGCTTGTCGATGATGTGTGGGTTCTCCAGGCAGACTGGAAAAGGGATCTACATCTCCAGGGCAAAGGAGGATCCCGGGGCCAGCGTGCCACCAGTGAGGATGAGAAAGCAGACGCCCTGATGGACCAGCTTGCGCATGGTGTGGCCAGGACTGAAGCACCAGTAGCTCAGCACCTTCCCTCGCTTTCTGGCTGCAGTGGTGCTCCAGGTATCAGATGGCTGAGCCGCCCTCTGGTGACGGGCATCAGGATGGATGTGCACTTTATAGGCCCCTAGCCTTGCCAGGGAACCAGGGCCACCCTCAGAGGGGTCTACACTGAACATGATCTGGATGATATCCGCCAGCTTCTGCAGTCGGGTCTTGTTGGCGAACACTCCAGCATGTCCTGCCAGGTGCTGGATGATCTGGTCCAGCGAGTCCAGGATGCAGCCATTGGTCTGTAACATGATCTGGGCTTCAGCAAACAGCTCAAAGATGTAGCTCCCAGGCTTGGTGACACCGCTGTCATCTCCAGGAAGCTCAACGGCATTGATGGCCTACTCCAGGCAGAGCAGGATCATCTTCAGCTTTGCAATGTCTTGCAGCTCCATGTTCAGCCCTGAGCTGGTGGGGTCCCACTGAACTCTGAGTGGGGCTCAGCCTGCTGCGCCGCCTTGATCTGCTCCTCCAGCACCTGGTCTATGATGTCCAGTCCCAAAGCTAGTTCATGGGGTGTCAGGTCAAAGGATGCCAATTCTTCACAGAGCTCCACGTTGTGAGTTTCATCAAAGATCAGGACTGTCCCCTTCTGGTCAATGTTGTGTGCTCTGCGCCTCTTGGCATCCAACAAGTAACTGTACGGCATGAAGATGATGTCGGCTTGCTGCTTCAGGTTCCGGGACAGGTAATAAGGGCATACCCCATGCTTGTTTCCCCTCTTGACCAAGTCCTTGATGTCCAGGATGGGGCTGACCAGCTCCTGCTCCAGGCTTTTCTCTTCTACATTGTTGTAGAAATTACAGAGTGACTTGCCACCTTCTTGCGGCACAAGTGGATCTTCATGTGGTTACTCTTCTGCTTCTTCACCTCAGAGTGGATGCACAGCTGCTCCTGGGAGCCCAGCACACACACCTTAGGCCGGTAGGAGATGTTCGGAAGTTCGTTGATGACCTGTGTGAGTTGTAAGAGGGTCCTAAAGGCGTAAATGATCTTTGGGATGTCCGTGTTACAAGCTATGGGGTCTCCAACAGCAGCAGCAGCACTGTCCCAGGATGACAAAGGCCCGATCTGCCAGAAGCTCCCCTTGCACCCTCTTGGCAATATTGCAGGTAAAGATGGTGTCTTGGGTGTTCTCACCAGGCCAGCGCGGTGCACAGGGGGCAGTGTCTTCCCTGTGTCGGTGGGGCTCTCCAGGATGCCATTCACCTTCTCCTGCAGACATTCCAGGACCTTGGTCATGTACTCCTGTTGGCATTTGTAGGGCTGGAAAGGGAAGTCTATGGTCACACCATTCAGGACTATCTTGGGCATATCAGCCTGTTCTCAGGAGGGCACAGAGTGTGACTGAGGGGCAGGCTAGTCGGGTCGGTGCGAAAAAGCTACTCCAAACAAGTCAGGGTCTCAACCACGCTGGATAATTGATGCGAGCATGCGCACTGGGACACAACGCTGTTCTCTTCTAGAATCCCTATGGAACAGGTTCCTCTCTTGTCTCTGCAGCGAGCCTTCCAGAACCGGAGGCCCTCAGAAACTCAACCGACTCCAGTGGAGCGCTGCCACCGCGTCCCCCGCTGTCAGGCAATTCAGACTTCGCGGGCTAAGGCGCTCAGTCGCCCCTGAGCGCGCTGCACTTTCGCCCCCACTTCCGGTCAGCTGCTTTGTGTCCCATCGGAAGCTTCCCCCCCGCGGAGGGGGTCCGCCTGCTCTTCGGCCACCAGCTGTCTACTCTGCCCTTTGTGCGTTCTGTGTCCAGCTTCCCTGCTCAGTGAACCTCACTTCCATCGCCCACAGGCAGAAATCTGGGGTCCCGCCCGTCTCCTCCCTTGATGTCATCCCCCACCAGGGTCTCCGTTCCACTGCCACCTCCCTAGGCCCAGCCACCACCACTGCCCGGAGAGCTGCGTGGGCCTCCTCCCCAGAGACGTCTTTTTACTGCCCGAGTGTGAGCCGACCGCTTTCCTGAAAATTTGAAAACTGCTGCCCCTTGCCCAGGACCCGGCTCCTGAGAGCCCTGACTCTCCTCTCCTTCCTCTCCCGCTCGGTCCAGCTTCTGCTCGGGTCGCTGTCTCCCGCACTGGTCCGGGTGGGCCTCCCTGAGTCCTCAGCATCCAGCACTGGCTGACAGCAAGGCGGACTTGAAACATAATTTTACCAACAAAATTTTAGAATCGTTCAACAACCCGATAAATCTAACCTTAGGCAAAATATCTTAAATTTGCAACAAATGCTTAGAAAATGAAATTTAATAAAAATACATCATTTACAATGGTACAAAATATGTAAGGTATAAAAGTAATACATATGAAGTATCTGAGATTAATTCTAATATGTGCACAAGACTTTCAGAGAAAAAATTATAACATTTACCTCATGGGAAGACATGAGGAGATATTCCATGTTTGTGGTCTGGAAAACTCAACATTCAAATTAATCTATAACTTTAATGCAACTGCAGTCAAAATCTCAACAGTTATGTTTGTGTCTATGTGTCTTTGTGTGTAACCTAAAAAGGTGATTTTAAAATTTCTATGGAAAAACAGTTCAAGAATAATAAAGACATTCCTGATAAAGAATAATGAGGAGAGCACAGTGTTATACCAAACGTCAATAATAAATATATAATTAAATGATGCAAAAATTATTGGCACTTAGAAAAATTGACCTTACAGTCCAGGCATGGTGGCTCATGCTTGTAATTCCAGCACTTTGGGAGGCCGAGGTGGGCGGATCACTTGAGGCCAGGAGTTTGAGACCAGCCTGGACAACATGGTAAAACCCCATATGTACTAAAAACACAAAAATTAGCTGGGTTGGTGGCTCATGCTTGTAATCCGAGCTACTTGGGAGGCTGAGGCTCGAGACTCACTTGAACCTGGGAGATGGAGGCTGCAGTGAGCCAAGATCATGCCATTACACTCTAGCCCCTGGCTGATAGAGTTAAGACTCTGTCTGAAAACAAAAAACAAAATCAAAATCAAAACAAAACAAAACAAAAAATGGTAAAAGAAAAATTGACCTTACAAATAAAATAGGGAGTCCAGTAAGAGACCTACATATATACGGGAACTTGATTTATTACAGAGCTCGATATATGGCATTGAGCTAACTGGTTATTTATTTATTTCAAATGAATATTAGTTAAAAACTTAAAGGTGAAAGATGAAACTACACAATGTGTAAAAGAGAATATCTAATAGAGAATACCTTTCATTAGGAAAAAAATTTTTTAATTGCTTGCAAAAAGCAACCAAATCATAAGGGAAAAGATTGTAATTAAGGATAAACTTCTGATTAGTAAAATGACACCATAAAAAAATGGAAAGAAAAATCACAAACTGGGAGACAGTATTTGTAGCTTTGGTAGCTGACAAAAGATTTCTACCCTGAATACGTAAAGAATTTCTGTAAATCAATGAGAAAAAGACCAACCACATAGTAGGAAAAGAATAGACAAAAGACTTGAACAGGCACTTCACAGGAGAAGAAATGTGACTGGCTAATAAACACATGAAAAGTGTCTGACTTCGTTAGTAATCAGGAAATACAAGCTCAAACCACATTGAAAAACCCTTCACAACTTATGTATTTATCTATTTATTTATTTATTTATTTATTTATTTATTTATTTATTTTGAGACAGAGTCTCATTCTGTAGCTCAGGTTGGAGTGCAATGGTGCAATCTTGGCTCACTGAAACCTCTGCCTCTCAGCTTCAAGCAATTCTCCTGCTTCAGCTTTCCGAGTAGCTGGGATTACAGGCCTGCGCCACCACACCTGGCTAATTTTTTGTATTTTTAGTAGAGACAGGGTTTTGCCATGTTGGCCAGGCTGGTCTTGAACTCCTGACCTCAAGTGATCCACCCACCTCAGCTTCCCAAAGTGCTGAGATTACAGGCGTGAGCCCCCACGCTTGGCCCCTTCGCAACTTCCTGATTGAAAAAAAAAGCAACTGGATAGTTACAATTGTCAAGAACAGTCAGTGTTAGTGACTCCAAGTCACCATTATTGGAACATACAGTTTGGCATTATCCAGTAAAATCAAAGATGCACACTCACTGACCCAGTGTCCACTCTCAAGTATATACTCTAATTTAGAGAAATTCTTATATCTGTATCTAGGGGCTATGTATAAGAATTTTCATAGTGACACAGTTTGTAATTAGCAAACAAGCAAAAGGAAACAAACCATATGTCCCTCATGGGGAGAGTGGATTAGAAAAGTGAATTACGGCCAGGTGTGATGCTCATACCTGTAATCCCAGCATTTTGGGAGGCTGAGGCAGGCGGATCGCTTGAGCCCAGTAGTTCAAGACCAGCCTGAATAACATGGAAAAATTCCATCTTTACAAAAAATACAAAAATTAACCAGTTGTGGTGGCATGCACCTGTGGTCCCAGCTACTCAGAAGGCTGAGGTAGGAGGATGTCTTGAGCCTGGTAGGCAGAGGTTGCAATGAGCTGAGATTGCACCAGTGCAGTCCAGTTCAGCCTGGGTGACAGAATGAGACCCTATCTCAAAAAAAAAAAAAAAAAAAAAAGGAAAGGAAAGGAAAAAAAAAAAAAAAAAAAAAGGAAAGGAAAGGAAGAAAAAAAAAAAAAAAAAAAAAAAAAAGGAAAGGAAAGGAAGAAGAAAAAGAAAGAGAAAGAAATAAAGGAAGGGAGAGAGAGAAAGAAAGGAGAGAGAGAAAGAAAGAAAGAGAGAGAGAAAGGAAGGAAGCAAACTGAAGTACATCCATACATTGGGAAAAAATAAACAAATGAATAACTTATAGTTACATATAACAACATGGGTAAATCTTAGAAATATAAAAAGCAGTCACAGAGGAATGCATGCATAAAATTTACAAACATAACCAAACAATATATTGTTACAGGATACAAATATACAGTTGGCCTTTTGTATCTGTGGGTTCCACATTTATGAATTCAACCACCTGTGGATCAAAATATTTTTAAAAGGCCAGGTGCGGTGGCTCACGCCTGTAATCCTAGAGCTTTGGGAGGCCAAGGCGGGCAGATCACGAGGTCAGGAGATTGAGACCATCCTGGCTAACACTGTGAAACCCTGCCTCTACTAAAAATACAAAAGATTAGCCGGGTGTGGTGGCGGGTGCCTGTAGTCCCAGCTACTCGGGAGGCTGAGGCAGGAGAACGGCGTGAACCTGGGAGGCGGAGCTTGCAGTGAGCCGAGGTTGCGCCACTGCACTCCAGCCTGGGCAACAGAGCGAGACTCCGTCTCAAAAAAAAGCAAACAAAAAAAGCAAAATATTTTTTAAAAACACAATAAAAATGATACAAATAAAAAAATACAATATAACAACTATTTACATAGCACTTACATGTATTAGGTATTACAAGTAACCTAGAGATTATTTAAAGTATATGGGTAAGAATATGTGTAGGTTATATACAAATATTTTGCCATTTTCTATAATATCAGAGACTTAAGCATCCAAGAATTTTGGTATCCTAGGGATCCTGGAAGCAATCTCCCATGGATACCAAGGGATGATTGTATATAGTAAAATTACAAAGAAAAGTAGTGATTAAGTAAAACTCAGAATTCTGGATTTCTTGAGGGGAGTAGGAAGAAGATGTAAAGGAAGTATGGAGGAGACTTCAAAGCAAGTGGTATGTTTTTCTATTTAAATCGATGGCTTGGCCTATGGGGATTCATCATGTTCCATGTATATCACATCTATTTTATAAATTATTGATATCTATTCCACATTTGAAGAAAATATTAAAAAGAATAAAATGAAAACCCAAGCCTGGAAGTATTGGATAGGTAACGAATATCATTTACTGCTTTTAGGGTTGGAACCAAGAGCTGCATTGAGAGGTGGTAAAAGATATATCCTTTCAGAGTAGAGAGAGGCACTTGCACAGGAAATTCTAGAGGGAATAGGATTTGGAATTGCTGAATGGAGAAGGGAGTAAAAGAATACCAGTTGGAGAATGACATGAACAAAGACTGTGAGGAGGAGATCCTCATCTTATGTTGGGGATCCCTGGTAAGCATAGTCTATTGAGATAATTGATGATATAAAAGCAGTTCGAACTATTAGTTCGAGAAACGCTAGATTGCCAAGAAATTCAACTTATCTTTTCATTCTATTTACATAGAAAATGAAATAAACGACTGGGCACAGCAGCTCACATCTGTAATCCCAACAGTTTGGGAGGTTGAGGCAGGCAGGTCACCTGAGGTCAGAAGTTCGAGATCAGCCTTGTCAACATGGCAAATCCCCATCTCTACTAAAAATACAAAAATTAGCCAGGCATGGTGGTGTGTGCCTGTAATCTCAGTTACTTGGGAGGCTGAAGCAGGAGAATTG